CCCTTGTGGATGTGGTGTCGGTCTCAGTCTCAGAGCTAGCAGAGTCCTGTAGAGAGTTAGACGAAGGGCAATGAGCAGTGACGGCCCACAGGAAAGAAGTTTCGTGGAGACTCAAAAGGGTTTGAGTGCAGTTGGAATTAGACAAGGCCAACGGAAGAAAACATAAAATGGAAGATACAAAGGTGAAAGTGAAAGCCCGAAGGGAAGAGGAAAAGGCTATGGCAATTGGCAGCCTTGAGGAGGGAAGCAGAAGCCAAAGAGCAGAAACTCGCCCAACAATGGGCTGCCAAGCACCTTCGACTCACCAACTTTCTTGACCATATGGATTTGGGAATGGGATTGGGATTGGGATGCAGAACCACAACAACAGAGACCAATGCCAATCAAATCTAATCTGATTTTGTTGTACGTACTATTTGTGGATTGGATTCAGTCCGCTTAGGACTTAGGACTTGACTTATGTATGTATATATGTACGTCTGTTTGCTTGTGCTAATTAATCATTTATGAGATAGATACATGTGGAGGCACTAACTCACTCACTCACTCGGAAGTAGTAAGTGATCTAAAAATTAAGTTGATCTATATTTTACATAATTCATTCTATATGATTTCTTCTTTTGAGTTTTCATTTCATCTCAATTTCTCCCTCATATATGTTACTATATATAATTTAAATTTTCATTATGTATTCTAAAAATCATCGTAAGTGGATGTACAAAACATTTGATCCAAATACATGAGATTGTGTCTAGAATTTCAAACAAAAATTTTACAGTTCGGGAATGAGCTTCACAACGGAAAAAATGAATAAAGGGTGATACAATACTTGGTAAATATAAATTAATTGTCAGATATAGTAATGGTTGATCTTTTAATGAGAGATTTCAACATAAATTATCAAATATGAGTTTTTCATGGCCAAGTCCTACAAATTTCACTGCCAATAATAAGGTACTAGTTAATGAAGATCTTGAAAGAAGTATACACATTCAATCTCATAGTGACTCAGGGCCTTCAAATTTGAAAACTAATCCTGAGATATCCATTAAACATGAAGAATTCAAAAATATAGATATGACAGGTAGATTCATCAATATGCTCAAAGATGCTGACAAACTACTTTATACAGATTATAATGGAGAAACGCAACTATCTATTGTTACAAAATTGATGTACTTTAAGATCACCATAATATCTCAAAGTCAACATATAATGATATATGCAAGGTATTTGGATGGACATTTCCCGAGGTCATCAAATGCATACCGATTTCTATCAATCAAAAAAGTTAACAGAAAATATAGAGTTACTTACTATTAAAATATTATTGTCCACAAGGATGCATGAAATTTTGGAATGATTTGGGTTTACAAGAGTGCAAGTTCTGTGACGGGTCACATTAGAAGCATGATTGATGGTGAAAGAATGTTGCTACATCACAAATGAGATATTTTCCATTAAAAGAAAAATTGAACATTTTGTACGAGTTTGTTGATACGGAAAAAGTTATGATGTGCCACTATCTTTATCAAAGCGAAGTTGGGTCGGGTCGATAAGCCATCCATCAATGCAGAGGCATAGAAATATTTTGATTGTACATACCCCAATTTTATATGAGATTCATAGAATATTCGGTTAGAATTTTGCACATATGGTTTTGCACCTTACAGAGCGTATGGGACAATGTATTCATGTTGGCTGGTCATTCTTATCCATATAATTTTCCACCGAGGACATATATGAGGAAAAAGTATATGTTCTTATCCATAATTATTCTAGGACCGAGTAATCCAAAGAAGTTGATTAACGTAAACTTACAACTATTGGTGTAAAAGTTGTTGCCTTTGTGGACAGATGGACATCAATTTCAGATGCATGCAGAACTCTTATGGAGAGTAAGCGACCTACCTTCCTACGGAATGGTTTCAAGATGGAGCATGGAAAGAATGTTATGTTGTCCGTTATGCATGGATGAAAAACTAGCCTTTCACTTGACCTATGGGAGAGACGTATACTACTTTGATGGTCACTATCGTTTCTTACTGCAAAATCATTCTCTTTGTCAAGGTAGATGAAGTTTCATTAGGGAAAAAATTATGAACAATGTAGCTCGTGCAAGACTCAATGGTCATACACTATATGAATGGGGTTTCTAAAATGACTTCAGTAGTGGTCAACCCAAATTGTCCAGAGCACGCAGGTTTTGGGGAGCATCATAAATGGAGAAAACAATCTATCTTATGGGATCTTCCTTATTGGGAAGACCTTCGCATACTCCATAATTTGGATGTCATGCTTGTGGAATAAATATTTTTGAAAATATCATACACACCATACTGGACTTGTTCACTATCGTTAGATATATCCTTTTGAAAGGTAAAATCAAAATACTAATGTTGGAGTTGTTGATAATAGAACATAGATTATATTAAATAATTTTGAGTTAGTTTCTAATTGTAGTACGTATGTCATTCACTCGTCAATATTATTCATTATATTTTTAAAATATGGATTCTAACAAAATGTAAATATGTTTTACTTTATAGTTCAATTTCAGATTTGATTGAAAATATATGAAGTAATTATGTTCTTGATAGTAAAAAAAGACAAATAGTTTGAAGTATTTATGGTATAATCTAATATTGAGTTTGTTTTATTAACACCTCCCTCTGTCCCATTTAAATTGTCCACTTTAGGTTAGGTACGGAGTTTTAGGTATTGAATAATTAATAAGTAATTAAGAAATGTATTAGTAAAAATAATTATGCATGATTTAATAAAAAAATAATTATAAATTAAGAGGGGGTGTATTCAATTGGAATTTTAATGGATTTTTAAAAATCTATGAATTTATGTGGATTTAGAAAATCCATAGAATTTATATTGAGTTTGATAGATTTTAATAATTGATTTAGATTGATTTTTATAGATTTAATTGAATTTTTTTTATTTATATGAATTTCGTAGGATTAAATAATATTTTATATATATATATGATTATATAAATTTATATCAAACAAAAGTTTTATAAATATAATATATTTATAATTGAAGTTACTTTATTATACTTTTATAAAATAAATAAAGAATATATAATTATTAATAATAGAGAAATATTATAACATATACTCCTTCAATTCCTTAACAAACTATTCATTTTCCATTTTAGTCCATGTCATAAAAAAATATTCATATCATTTTTAAGTAATTATACTATCTACCTAACATTACAAATACGGGGTATTCGCAATTCCCGTCCCTATATTTAACCGTCTTTTCAATTTGTATCCCTATAAAATTAATTTCGTAAAAATTGTCCCTCTTTTTTGCTAATCTGCGCAAAATCTAGTCTAACCACTAATTAGAAGAATATTAAGGGTAATTGAAGAATGCCGTTGACGGAGTAAGCATGTGCCACCCACGTGACCCCGTATTAGACCGAACCGGTTCTCATTCCCGATTCGGTTCGAACCGCTCCATATCTTCTCCAGACCGATCTCATTCCATTTCTCAAGAAATCCGCGGATTGTAGAGTCCCCAGTCGAGGATATTCCAAAGTTGGTGTGTAGATGTGGATATGAGCTCCCATTGCTTACTTCATGGAGCACAAGCAATCTAGGTAGGAGATACAGAGCTTGTCCTAACTATGCGGTAATTTTCATTTGTGTTTTTTTTAAAAGAAATTATTATTAATTTTGTTCTTCATTATGAAAATATTTTAATTGATTTTAATTTTGTAGAAACGTGAAAATTACTGTAGTATGTTTGAATGGTGGGATGAGGAACCCACAGATAGATATAAGGAAGTGATCAATGCATTGGTGTCTAAAATTCATCGGCTCGACAATATTCAGAAGCGAAAGAACGTCATCGACGTGGATGACGATGTTGTTGAAGTTGAAGTGCAAGAAAACCAATTGATGAAGAAGCTAAATCTATTGGAAGAATAAGTTAAAATGATGAAACGCCAGAATAACAAACCTCCGTCGGTGCACGTTGGCTATGTTAAACAGCATAGCGGTTTAATATTACTTAATATGGGGGTTATTGCGCTCATTTTTCTGGTATTCGGCTTTATGGCGATAGTCAACACCACCTCACCTCCGAAATTGGCTATCGCCAAAGGGTAATATTAGTGATAATGTGTTGTGTGATCCAGGTGTTGAATTGTTGTTGTTATATCGTAAGTTGAAATGTTGATGTATTGTGTCGGTCTATTGTGTTATTGTAATATTTTTTGCTTGAAACTCAGCTTTGGATTCTCGTGTTGGAAGGAGCATTGCTTGTTATTGTATGAAGAAATGTTGTAGTCGTAATATATTTTGCATCTTTAAGTTTGATCATGATCAATTCGTTTGTATGGAATGTGATTACAAATTGGAGCAGCTTGTGTTGTGTATAGGGGGACCTATGTTCATTTGGTATGGAATGTCAAGAATTATGCAACAATTGATGAACTTGTGTGCATTGCCAAGAAAAAATAAAATTTACTTAAAAGTACATCACATAAACAAATGTCAATACCTAAATCCCCAAATATTTCAAATTGCATATCACATTGAAATACCAACAATCGATAACGTTCCCCATGAAAACATAATTCCCAAGAGTTTTCAAACATATTGATTCACAAGATGAAATGCAAATTAAGGGCAGTAAAATTTTATTAGGTGCATGAAGTTTCTACTTCTTCTTTTTGGTGGGTTTATCTTGCTTTCTTGGATTGGCTCTCTTTTTATCATTTGAGGCACCTCCTGCCCTTGTTTTTTATGTTGGCTGGATGTGTGCTTCGATTGGTGCCACGATTGTCGTGCGGCCACCATCTACTATATTGGAAACACACGATTGCAGGTTGGATAAGCTAATGAATGTGTTTCCTCCTTTAACAATAACAAGTGTATGAAAGGTGTTGGAAGTCGAAGGCATCTACAAAATAAAGAGAGTTCATTTAGCACCAGAGTTGTAATAAAAATTGTATCTAACATTCCCAATAAATGTTACTGTACTTTAATTGAAGCCATTTTTTTCCTTGGACTGGTGCGGATTTTCGCATTTGAAGGAGCAGTGGTGGTAGCCTAGAAACACAAACAGTAGACCAGACAGTGAACTTGTGAAATGAAAGTATATATAAGCAGACCATACAGTTACCTGAGTTGGTGTTTTTCGCTTCCTTGGCCTAGTGCATGATCTTGTTGTTGATGGAGCATCACCAATATCCTGTAAACATTGAAAGCAAAAACGACGGTTATCAAGTGAAATGGAATTGAATTGAAGTTTTACAAAGCATACCATTGTGAGATTATCCGACTCCCTAATAGAAGGCTGCGAGGATGCGTCAAAGCACACTGTGTTTTGAACATCTCCTCCCAAATCTTCATCCTGAGCATTTTCCAGTGGCTCACTAATAAAAGCTCGTTTTAGGCAAGTTATGGAGTTGTGCTCAAAATCTTGACACGTTTTGCACCTAATTTTTTCTAGGTGCACCCTTGAGTTTATATGGATTTTTTAATTTTGGAGAGGGTTCATTGGGTTCTCTGCGTCGCATGGTTACTGGTCTTCCAACATTTTTCTTTTCAACCGGTGGGAGAGGTGCTTCCTTGACTGTTTTTTCCCATAAATCAAGTCCACTCAAAGGTAAGATTGGATAAGCATATGACTTCTTGTATGTAGATACAAAATAGCATTTATGGACATAAGCCAATGGATCTTCTCCTCTACACCAAATTACAGATACTGCATGCTTACATGGGATGTCTGTTAAGTCCCATTTTCTGCAACTACATGTTCTATCCTTCACATTAACTGTATATTGGTCAAAAGATCCAGTAATCTGAAAATTCCAATCATCACTTCTCATTGGAATGAATTCAGAAGCCTCATCCATCATTTTCTTCATTATTTTCATTATTTTCGGACAAAGTGTATCGTCCCATTTTTCAGCTTTCTCCCGATTCAACTGCATCCTCACCATCAACAAGTTTCTTATCTTCTCTAACATGGAAATAATTGGCTTATCTCTCGCTTCCATAATGAAACTGTTGAAAGACTCACATGTATTGTTAAGAAGCATGTCGCATCTAGGATACACACTAAAGTGTGACCTAGACCAATGATCTGGACTCTTATTTGCTAACCAATTAAACACATCTTCAGAAGCCTTTTTCATTTCCTCCATCCTTCGTTTAAACTCCGGAATTGTGGTAGCTTTAGCTGCTGCCCATAACAGCCTCTTCACTGCAATGTCTGTATACCCATCACGCTTCATGTTTGTAAGTTAATGTCTCACACAGAACCGATTCTCAGCCTGGGGCAGAATGGATTCAAAAGCAAGAATCAGTCCCTTTTGCTTATCACTCATGGACGTCCAATTATTTCCATCTTCAATATCAAAATCCTTCTTCAATCGCTCTAAGAACCACAACCAACTATCTTTGTTCTCAACCTCAACCACAACGTATGCTATAGGAAAAATATTGGCATCAATATCCACAGCACTTAACAACTACCCTCCAAAGCTATCCTTAAGCCAACAACCATCCACACCCACCACCGGCCTACAGCCTTCAAGTAAGCCTCTCTTGCATGCAGAAAAACAAACATATATCCTTTGAAACCGTTGTAATCCGGACTATTCATCATCTATAAGTTTCAAAGACAGAAAGTGCCTGGATTACATCTCTCAACCTCATTACAGTAATCCCACAACAAGCCATATTGCTCCACATTAGACCCGTGCAACAAGTCCAAAGCTTTCCTCCTATCTCTATATGCCTTCGACATCGAGACCTTACACCTCAATGTTCTACATATTTCATCCCTAAAAGCACCATGATCCAACTTCGGATTCTCCTTTAGCTTTTTCATAAATGTCTTCCCAATCCAGGAAGACTTAATACTTGTGTTGTCATAAGTGCATCCACATTTGCTATGAACTTCATTCATGCTACGCAACTGCCATGCTTCATCACCCTGCACCTTGGACACGAGCACGAACCACCCACACCCCTGTTTTTTGCATGTGGCTCTCAACCTACTCTTGTCAATCTTTGGAAATTTCACAATCATCCCCCTCCTAAAACAATGGCTTTCAATGGCAAACTTAGCCTCAGCCCTCGACTTAAACAACAACCCCAATTTCAGCTCTGGATTTTCACCACCAGTGTTTGAATTATATATTTCAAACTGGTTTGTCCCTTCCTCTTCACTTCCATCACTTTCCATCCCACTATTTAACTCACTATCACTACCCATGACATCTGCCTCACCATCCTCTTTTTGCAAAGTGTTCAAAACATCTTCAGCAACTGTGGAATCATCCATAATAGATTTTTCTTTCATCCTACCTTCAGTGTCAACCCCGAGTACCCCACTCTTTAACTCAACTTCATTATCTGAGTCATCAAAATCAGAATCATTTTCTTCCATTTCACCTTCTACACAATCACTAGCCCGAGGAATTTCACCACCTAAATCTTTTATTCCACTAATTAGATTGGACTGAGGATCTTGGCTAAGCCCGATATCCAGATGTTCTAAGTATATTTCGAGTTCATAATTATCTGGAATATGTTTTGTCATCCACAATATATCCTTATCATTTTCCAAACACTTGCATTGTCTATCAAAGTTTTTATTGTACTTCAACCAAAATCTAACACTATTTGCGTCTTTATATCCCAATTCCTCTGCATATCCCCACATTTCCAACACACTTAATTTATCCATATCAACAAAATCAAAATAATCATGTTCTCCCCCTAAATATTCCCTACGAGGCTTATGCCTCATCACCCCGCCAAAATAAATTTTCAAAGTAGCAGAAGAATCTTCATTGAACATCGCCCCTACATTTTAGTAATGCTAAGTGGTTTAACATAACGTAGTATATTCATTCAAACCAGTAGAACAAAAGAACATAAATCAACACGTAACCACAATGTTATTTACTGGACATAAATCAATTTCTAGCACAATAGAATCTCTTTTTTTTTTACCTTATTTTATTGAAATTAAAGCCTTTCATAGATGACATCATATAAATTAACCACAATCCTACCACAGACTGAAAATATTACAATACGTAAACCTTAAACATATTTCAAATTAAGGGATTTCAACTTACTGTAATTGGGGGTGAAATCAAGAGCCTTGCTTGCTTCTACGCACCATTGTCAACCACACACTAGAATCTACGCCTCAACGAAGGAATTGAACAAACGAACTCCTGAACTAACTCCCCCTTGAATCTAGCTCGACTAGGGATGACAATGATTGATGGGAATTAGGGTTTTGCAATTATAAATATGAGCGGAGTATCGGTGGGGAAAATGGGGTGGCGATGCTCGAAGGACCTACGGCTTCTCGTGACTGGATTGAGAATGGGGGAATGAGATCGGTCTGGAGAAGATATGGAGCAGTTTGAACCGAACCGGGATTGAACCGAACCGGGTCTAATGAGAACCGGTTCGGTCTAATGTAGGGTCACGTGGGTGGCACGTGCTTACTCCGTCAACGGCGTTCTTCAATTACCCTTAATATTCTTCTAATTAGCGTTTAGACTAGATTTTGCGCAGATTAGCAAAAAAGAGGGACATTTTTTACGAAATTAATTTTATAGGGACACAAAATGAAAAGACGCTTAAATATAGGGACGGAAGTTGCAAATACCCTTTACAAATACCTTTACAACTTACAATATTTTATACAAATGTCATTACTTTTATATCATACTAGTAAGGTTATTTTAGTTATTGTTACTTTATTCCTACTACATATCAATATAATACTAATATACTTTAAAATCTTTGCAAAAAGCAAACGAATATCAACTTAAGGGACAAAGGGAGTATAACACTACTACACTGTATATGATTAATTTTATAACTTTTAGTATTATATTATCATTCAATATATCAAATTATTTTCATATTTTTTATCAGTTAATATTATTAATTATATACTCCTTCCGCCCCATTTTTCTGGTGCGGAGTTTAAGAAAAATTGTGTTAGATAGCTAATTAGTTTGATTAGTTTATTTAATTTTATATTATATTGTTATTGTAATTATTTTTATTAGTAAAATATTAGAATAAAAATTGAAATAATTTATTATTATTATTTTTTATGATGAATATTTATATTTTGAAATTAATTTTGGACAAAAAACTATTGTATCAAGAACAATAATTATATATAACAAAAAAACCAATAAAATAATAATTTAAATATAATTAAACAATAAAAATAATATAATTATAAATTTTTAATTTGAATAATATTTTACATAAAATTATTCCACAAGTAAATACGAAAAATAAAATATAAATTGAATTTAGTTATTGATACTGATAAATGCATTTATGGATTTAGTCAGTCTCACAAAATATTAAAAACAATCAATAACTAACAATAAAAATACAAGAAAATTTTAAACACTAAAAGCTGGTAACCTTTGTTTTTTTATTTATTATTGTTTTTGAAAAATAAAAAATAAAAAATCACATCTCATTATTTACTAATTCTTCTATCCAAAATATTAAATCAAACAACCTAACAAAATTTGTTTGAGACACTTTAAGGTTAATCTTATTTAAAAAATACAATATGTACACATCAACATAATATATAATCTACAAGCTTATAAAAATTTAATAATATGAAAAAAAATAAAATTATATTGTCATCACACTTCTCACCGTTATATATACAAATTGTATTGATTATAGATCAATATGTGCAATTAGATAATAAAAAAATAAATTGACTTTAATAATTTAAAAATAATTAATAAAATAAAAAATTATATATAAAAAATTTAAAATAAACAGTATATCAAATTTGTCAAATTTGATTGCTGATACGAATTTTTTGTCATGACATACTAAATTTTATATTGCATATCGTATGCCATATAAAAAATTATAGTTTGATATTTTACCATTCGATATCATATTCATAATTTAGTATAGCCGAATTTATTACTCTTAACTAATTTTCCAAAACCAAATCAAATAGAATTTTTTTTTATATATTACATTAAAAAACAATTAAAGATTTTAAATATTACAACAATATCTATTTATATTTATATTAAATATTTATTTTAATTTTTATTATTCAAATTTCTAATTCAACTCTCAAATTTTCTCAAATTTACAATCAAATATAAAATAAAGCTAGACATATTGATAATTTAACTAAATTTAATTAAATTTTTAATTTTAATTAATATTATATTAAAAAAGTGAACTAATTTTATAAGACAAGTTAAAAAGAAAAAAATATATCAATGCTGTAGAAATGAGTGCGTAATTTATTTGGTAAAAGTAATTAGATTAATTAATATTTTAATTTTATTTTATGCTATTAATTATTATTCCCTCCGTCCCAAACACTTTGCAATATTTTAGTTTTGGTATATCTCAAACACCCTGCAACATTTCCAAAATAGAAAATAATTAATTATATTTAATTTATATCCCACACTTTGTCCCCTCACATCATCCAAATAAAAAAAGAAATAAAATATACATTTCTCTTTCCATCAAATCACCTAATTTCTTAATTATCCTACTTAATACTATCCACCTAAAAACTCGTGTTAAAAACAAATATTGCACCTAGTTTGGAATGGAAGGAATACTAAGTAAAGAAAATGGACTAATTTGGCGGGATAGCCAAAAATGAAAAAGTGAACCAATTTGGTGGGATAGAGGGAGTAATTTTTTACATAAAGACTAAATATGTATATAAATAAAATGAGAAAAATATAATTTACCATTTTAAAAAATTAAAATAAGAAAGTAATTAAATATAAACTAACGATTCAACGATATATATTATATCTTATATATATATATATATGAGATTGTGCGAATCTGCCACATGAATTGTCTTTTATGTCTTTCTCGCGAAATGACTTGTTAGCCCTTCACAATCACCCACCCTTTCTTTGTCTTGCTGCCACCGCTGTGCCAATGGCGCGTTACTCCTCCTCCACCAACCATCCATTTGTTTTTGTCCATTTTCCAAACGACTCTCTTGTGTCTCCTCCTTGCCCAATCGATTCTTCATCGACTTTCTTCTTTTTTCGAAATTTACTAAAAAGATCATTTCGTTGTCATTTGCATATTTTAAATTTTTTGGAATAGAATATGTATGTCTTCCTATTTTACTTAGGGTGCGTTTGACAATTAGCAAATAATTTTTAGTTGTTAGCTTATTCAATTAGCTATTAGTTGTTAGTTGATTTAATTAGCTGGTTTG